ATCACATCAGTATTGGAGCGCAAGCGACGTTTGACTCAGTGGGATATCAAACCCCCCGGCTATGAGAATGTCACTGCTGAACAAGCCAAGCTGTCAGGCATGTTCCCTCTGCCCGGGGCTCCTCGCCAGCAACCCATGGATCCCAGCAAGCTTCAAGCCATCATGAACCAGCCAGGTGGCCAAGTTAACAGCGCTGCGCTGAAGCCGAGCAACTCGCGCCAGGCCAAGCGTCTGCTCATCAACAACCTTCCCCCATCCACGACCGAAGAAACCCTCCAGAACTTCTTCAACTTGCAGCTGAACGGCCTCAACATCATTGAGAGCACCGACCCCTGCACCAGCTGCCAAGTTTCGAAGGACAACTCCTTCGCCGTAGTTGAGTTCAGAAACGCTTCCGAGGCCACCGTAGCCCTCGCTCTCGATGGCATTTCGATGGAGGCCGACGATGCCACGAATGGCGCCGCCGGTAGCCAAGGCCTTGTGATTCGTCGCCCGAAGGATTACATCGTTCCCGCGGTGGTTGACGACGTCCCATATGAGCCGGGTGTCGTTTCCAACACGGTGATCGATACCCCTAACAAGATTAGCGTTGTGAACATGCCTCCTTACCTGTCAGACGAGCAAGTATCGGAGCTTTTGGTATCGTTTGGCGAGCTCAAGGCGTTTGTGCTTGTTCGTGATAGAAGCACAGAAGAGTCTCGGGTAAGCTGAGTCGCATTTGGCCATCATACGTACCATACTAACTATCCTTGCAGGGAATTGCTTTCTGCGAGTACGTTGATCCAGCAGCTACGGACGTCGCCGTTCAAGGCCTCAACGGTATGGATCTTGGAGACAAGAAGCTCAAGGTTCAGAAGGCCAGTGTCGGTGTAACTCAAGTTGCTGGGGTGGAAATGGGAGTTGCAGCTATGTCTATGCTGGCTGGAACGACCTCAACTGACTCTGAGGAAACCCGTGTTCTGCAACTTCTGAACATGGTTACTCCAGAGGAGTTGATGGACCCTGACGATTATGAGGGTAGGCGTCAACATCTAGTTCTGGTCTTGTGCACACATACTGACAGTCTGCAGAAATCAAAGAGGACGTTCAGGAAGAGTGTGCAAAGTTTGGTAACGTGCTGGATATCAAGATTCCTCGTCCCGTGGGAGGCAGCAGACAATCTGCTGGTGTTGGCAAGATTTTCGTCAAGTTCGAGACCAAGGAGTCATCCAAGAAAGCGCTCCAAGCACTCGCAGGACGCAAGTTTGCGGATCGTACTGTTGTTACCACCTACTTCCCCGAGGTAAGAAGAGCCCCAGGATGGCATTGCGAGACAATTACTAACCCTGCTGCAGGAAAACTTCGAAGTCGGTGCCTGGTAACCATTTTCACATTGGGCACAAGGAACAGCGAGATAACATCACCAAAAAGGCAAGGCTCGGCGGAAAAGGGAAATTCAGGCCGATCATATTCTGACAGCCTTGTAACCATTGAAAATGCTGTATCATAATTCCGCGATGCGGGCCGCAGGCGACAGGGACGGGAGCACCCACCAAGTCGCAAAATTGCAGATGACTTGTGGCGGCTTCAAGCCGGCGCGGTGGAGGAAAATTAGGGGTGTTCTATAAAAACTTTCTGACTGAAAACCATGGTTAAAGGCGTTGATTATACCTGCGCAGTTGTATTTGCATCAATGGAACACTTCTATATGTTTGGTAGGTGTCGAAGTTCAGAGGTTGTGTTATTTTCGACTCCAAAACGTCTAGGCCTACAGCGTTCTTCAGTAACTTCGAGTCACAGGAGTTCAACCATTCTTTTGCTCATGTTTTGATTTACTATCTATCCAGGGGTTACGCGTCATCAAGGTTGACTCTGTGTGTATGATTTTCTGCTGCGCTTCACTTGAGGCGTAAATGAAGACCAGAATCTGTTCCAGGTGTAGACCTTTACAGCTTGTTAGCTTTCCGTTCAGAATTCGAATGATTGAAATTGAGAGAGAAAAGGTGCAGTATCAGAAGTCCTGTTCATTCATTAAGCCCGAAGACTTTAAAATAAGAGGTACCAGAAAAAAGTAATAATGGAGGATCATCATTTGATGCATAGGGGTTAAACGAGGAGCATACGTGAGCGATTCTTACCTGGGGGGAAGGATGTAGAGAGGCACCGCGAAACAGCTCTCAGCGGCGATGTATCTGATCTGTCCATCTCTCAAAGAGTTGAGGTTGAGGGAGCAAGAAGAAAAATCTTGAGCTCACGAAGCTTGAGGTAAGCAAAAGGGTGCACGGACCAAGGTGAGGCTGCTTGGCCCCGTAAATCCGGCCCAGTAGCGGGTCCTCCAAAATTTTCCAGACCAAGCCCAGACGGGACAAGGATGGTAGGCTGCGAGCTCGTCGTTGAAACCAGCTGGGCCCAGCAGGAGGAAGGAGCACTGCACTCAAGCAGCTGCCCTAATTAAGCGAGGTTCTCCCGCCCGCACAATCCACCCCGTCCACGCCGACCGGCAGCCCGCTCAAACATATCGCAATTGATCGTGAACTTTTTTCCCTTCCCTTTTCAAATCCGACCAGCGACCGACCGACTGACCCCCTCGACTCCAGCCGACAACATCACAAACCACCGTCAAAATGGGCCGTCTTCACTCCAAGGGAAAGGGTATCTCCGCCTCGGCGATTCCCTACAGCCGCAACCCCCCTTCGTGGCTCAAGACCACCCCTGAGCAGGTCGTTGACCAGATCTGCAAGCTGGCCAAGAAGGGCGCTACCCCTTCCCAGATCGGTGTCATTCTCCGTGACTCCCACGGCGTTGCCCAGGTCCGCGTTGTCACCGGTATGTCGAAATTGAAATCTCCCAAAGCCTCTGCAGGAGAATCACAAAAGAAGGAGAATTCCGCAACTGACTATTTTCGCTCACTACAGGCAACCGTATCCTTCGCATCCTTAAGTCCAGCGGTACGATCCCAGTTATATGAACACACCAAGCGGCGACTTCGATGTCGAAAGATTATCAAAACTGTCCGCGAGGAGCAATCCTCTTTACTGCATTTAATGCGCCTCTGCTTGGTCTAGGCTGACAGAGAGATATGATGAACAGGCCTCGCTCCCGATATCCCTGAGGACCTTTACATGCTCATCAAGAAGGTAAGCCGGTTGCGCCGGAGACGGTCGTCTCTATCCTCGGAGGAAAACGCGGGTGAATAGCTAACCAATTGGGTGATACAGGCTGTTGCCGTCCGCAAGCACCTTGAGCGCAACCGCAAGGACAAGGACTCCAAGTTCCGCCTCATTCTCATCGAGTCCCGTATCCACCGTCTCGCCCGCTACTACAAGACCGTCGGTGTCCTCCCCCCTACCTGGAGATACGAGTCCGCCACCGCCTCCACCATCGTCTCTTAAGCGCCCTTTAACCGCTATCACGAACGAATGGATTGGTCGTCGCATGACGCGGTGGATTCTGGTCATGGAGTTGGGGTATTAGGAAAGTGCATTTAGAGCTCTGATGCCAGCTCTCTAGGCCCGGTGGCCGCGCGGGGATTTCTCACGCCGCGGAGGAGGAGTAAAAGTTTCCCTGCATGTCACTCGAAAGAAGTAGACATAAACCAAACAAAAATGAGGAAATTCTTCCAAGGCAACACCAACGTCTATGAGTGTTTAAAGGGCTACTACGAGGAATCAAAAGTTAATGAACTGGGTATCATTCATATCGTCATGACCTTGAAGCATAATGCCCAAAGTAGCTATTGCAAAGACTTTTCTGCTTCCTAAACGCCTAGCTTCATGCCAACCAAATCAAGAGCCCATTGTTCCAAATGATTATGCCATCCAAGCCTGTATTATCGCCTTGTGGTGTGATGGCAAAAGAAAGCCCGCCCAGCAGCTCAGGCAGAAGGCTCGTTTCTACGACGGGATTCCTCGAGAAGGAAGTTGCCCAAGACGTGAAGAGGATTAGCAGGCCTAGAACACAGCGCGATTAGCCTTCGTACCATAGGTTATGACCATAGTAGGAGCAGTCCTTACTGGTTCTTGCTGATAATCTTCATGCCCTCGAGCAGAGCAGCGGTGACGTGGTTGTTGATGTACATGCGGGCATTGTCGCCGTGCTCTACCGCGCGGTTGGGGAAGTTCGTCGCATTGGTGTCGGGATGAACTGAGCCAGCACGAGAGCTAGCCTCACCATTGACATTGCGGTTGGGAGTACCGGTCCGGCCAGGAGCAGGACTGGGGGCGCTCGGGGCGGCCTGCGGGATCGGGACGGGGGACTGTAATATTGAAATTAGCGAAGCCTGAGACGAGCGCATGATATTCTCAAGATCATACTGAAGCAGGTTCGCCAGCATCAGCCATAGGGACGTCGAGGCTAGCAGCATCGGCCATCGTGGTGGCAGGCGCAGGAGCAAACGTAGAATCTGCAGGCGCAGTGGCTTCCTGGGTAACAGGCTCTGCCGGGTTGGACATTGTGAAGGATGGAAGATGCGATAAAGACAAATGGTTGATTTTGTGCTATGGCGCAAACTCTCGATTGGAAATAGAGCAGGTGTCGAAGGCAAAATTCGTTAACCAGTAAGGATAGGTACTTGCGATTTGTCGGTTATCGGAAGTTGTGAAGTTTGCGACGGCAAAGGCAAGGTGCGCAAAGACGAAGTTTTCAAAGCAACAAGACACGCCAAGGCGACGAACGTTTGGGGTGAATCGATTGGAGAAAGAACGATCGTTCCGGAGCTCCAGTAGTATTTTGAGGTCGAGGAAGTTGTCAATTGATTGCGGGGGAAGTTGCGACAGTCGGGAGGGTCTGATGAGGAAGCTGTGGTTGTGGTGGGCCAGAAGAATTAGAGCTCATCTACGCGGGGTCACCTGATCTCGCGTTCAGAGGCGCTTTCCCTCCTACGGCAGCCTGTTTCCTTCGCGTCTCCATTGCACATGACGCCACCAAGGCAAACCCCATTGATGGATGATCTTTACAAACTACGCTGGTTGACCTCATCAAGAGCCGTCTCTCTACAATGTCACTATTGATCAATTCGCACTATGGACGCCTTCGTACAGCGGCTCCCACGCCCGAGATCACAGCCTTCTTCAAGATCTCCAACGAGACCCTCGCCGCTCGGTGAGAGGCCCGCAAAGAAGGCCAAGGTCGAAATTCAGGACAGCGATTGTGACGATGATGACAATATCAAGTCTGAAACCGATGAGGCTGATACCTCAGGCCTGACAGTCAATGATGTATCTGACGCAGACGACGACGTCAAGCACCACACACGGCAGACTGACATCGAGAGCACTTTGCCACCCATCCAGTTGGACAAAGAGGCGATCGAGGAATACGAATTGATGAGGAGCTCTCAAGTCAGCGCCCCTGAAGACGAAACAGCCGTCGCGCCTGAACGAAAGTGGGTAAGGGGCAAGAGCTCCATCTACGTGGATGCGTTCAACCTCGCCTTGGATACTGTCTTGGCAGATGAATCCCATTTGTTTGACGCCAAGGAGTGTAACGTATTCGAGCAATGGAAATCATTGGGCTACGAAGCCCAGTACCTGTGAGTTTGTCCTAATTCCATCGCATTGCTCTTCTGGACTGATGGCTTGCGTAGATATGTGCGCTTGTTCTTGCGCAAGACTTCCGCTTGGCACCGTCAAGACCGGCTGGGATACTACAGTGATGTTTCGGATCCTGAAGCTGCCATTGCGTCTCTGCAGAAAGTCAGAGGTCTTCCCGAGCCTGATGCTCCCGCGTGTAGCAATCCTGTCGAAGGCATTGACCTGGAAGAGTTTAGTTTAGACGGCACTTTCACATTTGCCGATGCTTCTGAGGAACACATCACGACCATCGAAGAGGCGTCTTCATTGCTAAGCCTAGACGAACTAAAGGATCTTGCTAAAGAGGCCAAATTCCAGGGACGTAACAAAGCCGACTTGGTGAAAGCGCTGTGCCGAACAGGCTATCAGCAGACCGGGCTCTTTGCTCATGGGCTACAACGGTCTGGCAGCGGCGAGTCCCAGACTGCTCGAGGTCTAATGCGAGATCGCCATGATACTCCACCGCTTCTCAGCAGGCAAGACTCGAACCAGACGCAACACTTTCTAGAAAAGATCAGGATCATCACAGGCCCTTGCATCAGGCTATCGCCACTGACATATAAACTCTTCGAGAGGGTGCACCTGGTCTTCTATCGGTCGACAGAATGGACTGAGAAGTCTCTGACGGCCATTATTCTTGCTAGCATCGCACGCCGGAATTACCCAGAGTACATTGTCTGCCGAAGTACGAACATTTTTGCTTCTCGAAGACATGTTCTCGAGTTCGAGTCAGCAGTTCGTGTCGAAGCCGAGGTCGATCAGATCCTGGAGTTCAATGGCTCGCCGGGTGAGGCAGGTCTTCGCAAGGTTGTGGATGTCTTTGATCGTGTCTATCCTCGGTGGAAAACACTTTTAAGAGAAGAGCAAGACAAGGAAAAGCGATTATACGAAGAAGGTGAAGGCGCCTACTTGAGAAGGTTCACCCCTGTTCATTCCTACACGCGCATTGTCCACAAGGCAGCATATGTGTTTGGGAAGTTAAAGGATTACGAACGCGAACACTCTATTCTCACGGAACTTCTCTACCAGCACCTGTTCCATCCTGCTAGGCGAGGCAGTTGGTATCAACGAAAGGCTCTCTTAGAGGAACACTACATGTATGCACTAGATGCCAACGCAGTGTCTCCCGATCCCGACATTCAGAAGAAGCATTGGAAACGAATTGCAGCGACGACTTGCGAGACAGCGCTAGAGGACAATGAGTGCCATCTGATCTACCATTACGATTTGCAGAAGCGTCTGCTCAAGCTCGAGAAACAGCTCCGCATCCCACGACGACTTCAGCACGACTTCGGCCACGTTCGTCTCCAAAAGCCACTAGAGCATACTGTTGAGGGCATCCAGGTGATCAAAGAAGACCGCCAAGGCAGAAATGGCCGGCAAGCAAGTACGAAGACGATTTGGGTCGATGAACTAGAGGAAGGTGGCGAATGCAGCGTCGAAGAGATGTGCCTGAGTTGGTACCGAAGCAAGGGCTATAAAGGATACCACGCCGAGGGAGGCATCGTTCGCACACTTTTCGCCTATCTTTTCTACGACATTCTGTTCCTCTACATCCCAAATGTATTTCAGACAGCTTATCAGACTTGCCCCTTGGACCTCCATACGGATTCGTTCTATCCGACGCGGCTGTCCGAGATTAATCACCGACTAGTCGAGATAGGCAACGGCGGTGCGGAAACCATCATCCGCGAGGTCGATGCCAGAGAGCGCGAACGACGAACTTGTGTTATCGGCCTCAATTGGGACTACGACGTTGAGGATCTTGTGGAGCTGGTCGGGTGCTTCGATGGTAGCGCACTGGCCGCTCTCTGCAAGGTGATGGCACAGGAGTACCGACAGCGGGGCGGAGGTCTGCCCGACTTGATCCTCTGGCGGACGGAGCCGAAAAAGGAATGTATGTTCGCCGAGGTCAAAAGCGCCAATGACCGTCTCAGTGACACTCAGAGACTATGGATCCACGTTCTCACGGGTGCAGGTGTGAAGGTTGTCCTTTGTAACGCCGTGGCCAAGGAAGTCAAAACTGTTGACTGAAGACGCCTTCGGAGTTCTCGAGGATCCCTCCATGTCGAAAGATATTTTGATTCGCTCTTATGGGTATCCTTCCAGGATATGGCGTGGTGTTACAGGGAGTGGAGATTGCTCTGAAAGCTCAGCGCTTCCCGAACCCGGGAGATATGGCAATATCTTCGACCACGCTGGGTGCCAGTCCATGAGCAAAACATGCCAGCTTCGAGGTCAAGATTACTTGAAATTGGAAATGGCTCGCGGTGCCTGGTTCCTATGCGCCGGATCAGCCGAGCTCATCTCAAGGGCGGGGAGCCGAAGTACAACATATGGCGAGGCCAAAAATAGGATTTTGATCTTCAGCGATCCGCAATCACTTTGAACCCATGGAAGCAAAGAACGACGAAAGAAGATTATGAAACGGCCGAGTTGCCACTAAAAGCTGCACCTAAGCTGTTTTCTGATCACCAGTCAAGGAACTACAGCACCTCGAACAACCAATCGCTTATCCATGATTGGTGATTTACAGTCCTGTTTCAATCTGATCATTTGACAAACTGTCGAAAGACTTGGCTCCAGTTTCAGCATTACCAGGGTTTTCAAGTCGTGGCGCCGGGGGGAGGCTAAATCTGGTATCAGAATTCGAGACATCCAGTCAGAGGCGACAACCGGCAGGCAGGGCTCGTTTTGGGTCGGAGATTTTTATGAATCACATGCAGCCAATCACGCAAAATCGTCAAAGGTCGGTACTTTGGTTGACGAGGTTGAACGGAACCCTGCGTTGTACTGGGTCATCGGAGGCCAGACAGGCAATGAAATTTCACATTCTCACCGAGATTGGAAGACGCAGCACCACAGGCACCCTTTCCCAAGGCTTGCAGCAGTCTCGATCTTTGCCCCTCCTCGCGCTACTGATGTCGCATCTTTGGGGGTGGAGGTCGTCACACTCGCGGTTGGTCTGGCGTCTCGTTTACTGCGTGCGTGTGCTAATGTGGTCCAGACATGCGTCCTAAACATGCTGCTAATGTACGGGACGACGACTCCGTACGTAGTGCCATTTCATGTCTCTATGATTTATCGACCTTCTTCACCGCCAGATGACAGAAGTCGATAGCAACCAACCAACATGGAATTCACTGTTCCCAGCAACGGAACATTACCGGCATCTTCCCTCGAGAGAGCGCAAACCCCCATCCCAATTTTTCCGTCTCTGCTCATTGCTGAACCTCACTGCTGAACCACCCATGCCCATTTTCGAAGCAGAAGGCCAAAAGGTTACAGCTCTGTGGGAGCAGCTTGACTTGCGACCGAGCTCTTTGCGACGAGTGACTCTGCGTCAAGGGTCAAAAAACCAAAAGTCACAGACGCTTCGCCTGGCCCTGCCCACCATGATCCCCACACCAGCACGCCGGCGCTTAAACCTCGACCAATCCGCTGCCTCCCCGCCGACCGTTGGTGATGGTCCTGACGGGAACCGGGACACCGCGGAACCCCTGTCATTCCCGCCCTCAAACCAATCAAGACCCCGGCCATTCTGAGGACAGGCGCTTAGCAAAGTGAGGTGACTGGGGTCCCTCCACGGCTTCGCTCCGTACGCGACCACCCACCCCCCCATGCAGTGCCCGGGATGCTGGGTCGTACCATGGCCGGATCTGGCAAGGCGCCTCAGGCCGCTTTTGTCCTTTTCTCGACTTCTTTCTGACTGGACGTTTCGCCTGCTTGGTACTTTTCTTTGGCTTGACGACACGCCCTTGACTGCGTCTGAGCTGTTGACTCTGTCCCTTGGCGGTCTCCGAAACGCAGTGTTCCTTGGATCTCAACCGCGAACCTGCAAGAGATGCCTTCTGGGACAAAAGCCAACTAAAAGAAAGGAAACAAAATCACACACGTAACATGCACACCTCGGGGAGTGCATGTGCGTATCTGTATGAGTGTGAGGCAATCATGGACCTCATCAGCCGTGGTCTATCCCCCAAAAGGCGACGAAAAGGTTAAGCGGACCACGGAGGAGGGGAGGGGGCCGTAAGGAACGAATTTGGGAAGACATGGGTGCGCCTTTCTACACTTCAGTCATCACCGCATTGCCCATCACGACTGCAACACCAAGCCACGACTAGCAGCGGGAGGAGGATGATGACGCCCCGGCGCCAGCAACATCAGCAGCGGCGGTGGCAGGAGCAGCATCTATAGTGCTGTAATGTGATGCCCGCTCTCCGGCCGGGACTTGACGCATCACCGCCGAACCATCACCCCCCATTCCAACCCCATCTAGCCTACCTTCTGCCGGGTGGTTGCCCCCCTCCCCTCCGGTTCGATTGCACCGCTTTCCAATGTTTTCCCTCATATTGGATCACTGAAGATCGACGGCTATTACATCGATCCGTCATCGCATCCCCCTGCTTGACGTGGTTTCCCATCTGATGGGGAGGGGTATACAACTCGGCTGTTCGGGAGCGTACCAAACCCAAAGTGTGACGGGATTGTATGGGTATGATGAGGTGAAGGGCAGGATAAGGCGGACGGGATGGCATCCCCCATCTCCTCAGCGGAAACCGAGGCGGGGGAAAAGAAGGGTACAGCGGCCAGCCAGCTGAAATTGAAGACAAACTACGGTCAGATGGTCAATTATGACGCCCAGTCACACGATTGAGAGCAAATATTCGATGAGTGGATCTCCTAGAACGTGGTCACGGCTCTTTACTTGGAATTACCATACGTGGGTTCGACGCCATGTCCGCGAGGAACTGGAGCAAGATTTGGAACAAGATATTTTTACCTCTGAAGATCATGAGAAATCTACCCGTTTCCTCGTCAACTCCACCCGGCCGGCCATCGCGGCCTCTTCTCCCCCTCCCCGCTAAAGCGCGGGACCATAATAAACCCATGATGCTGGCGGCCGCTGATGCGGCCGCGCTGCACGAGGATGCCCACGGTGCAACGATAAACAAATAAACACAGACACATACACAATGATTCGTCACAATTGCTCTTGCGGTGCGAGAGTTGTCCTCGAGAGACGCAGTTTAGTAAGGTTAAGATATACACAGGATGCTGATATTAGGCTACCTGGCTCGCTGTATAGTAGGTATCTTGCCCACCCCAGGGAGATCTTCTTCCTCGTCTTCCAAAAATTCCAAGACGCGTTCAACCTTTCCCCCCCATTCAGATAATCAAGTCCGCCCACCCAAATAGTTTCTGGTATCGAACATGAGCATCGTAGAGACGCCAAAGAACTCCGTTTGGCCCGGTCCCAATCGAGGACCGGTAGATGATTCGAAACAAAAGACCAACCATTTCCCTTCTCTCTTTCGCAACATATTCCTTGAGATGAACCAATCAGTGATTTCACCCTCATGTTTGCCTCCATATCATGGTATGCGCCAGCTTGTGTGCGCCAAGTTACTTCCGTTAAGTCATATCGTGGTTAAGTCCCTGCGTGGGAAGAGCCTGCTTCATCACATGTCTTGCTTCTCTTTTTTGTGGCGCTAGGCCTAGGTCGTCAAATGGTACTGCGTTTTTGCTGAAGGTAACGTTGTTGAGGCGATGGTGATGGTGATGGTGAAGGTAGGTGGAACAAAAAAGAAGATAGATCGGGATATGTAGTGCCGATGTCGTGTTAGGTTAAAGTGGATGCGTTTGCTTTGGTCCAGTTGTTCATTCCACCTTCCTCCTCTTCCCCTTTGGCGCGGGGTTCATCCTCGGCGTGTAAGTTACTGTCCGCGTGACCACCTCGCGGATGTGACGCACGCTAGTTCTCGAGGGCTTCTTTGAATCATTCAACCTCTTGGCCTTGAGTGCTGCGTCCCAATCGAATACTGAGTGAACCGATCTGGCGCTGAAGGGTGACCGTGCGCTCATTGGTGAGTCCAGGTGCGATACTGCTGGAGAGGGCGGGATCTTGAGGCTCGGGAAAGAATTCGCACCGGTGGGAGGTGCTGACATTGGCAGATGTGTGAAAGGGCTTGGCGGGATGGCCGGTGCCGTAGCCGGTGCTTTATGCTCGTGTTCACACTTGCAAGAGATATCGGTCTGCTCGCTGGTGGCGGTGGAAGGCAATGAGTCCGGTGTGGACTCGGGAGTAGTCTCGCCAGAGGTTGATGGCTTGAAAGCAGCCGGTGAGTTGAGAGACATGGCCTTGAGGAAATCCGTGTAGGCGGTTGGCGGGCTAATGGGTGTCTTGATGGGAAGGTCCTTGCAAGACATGGGTCTGGCAGAGAGCGGAGTCGAAGCCGAGAACATATTTTCCGAGGGGAAAGTGCTGGTGACGGGCGTGGCCAGCTGGGCTAACTTGGGTCTGTTGACGGGCATGATGGCTTGAGGCGGAAGGAGAGGCGGGAGAAGAGTGAGGTAGTAGCGAATGTGTGCGTGGAGAGAGATGTCCAGTCAACTAAATGACTCTGACGTGGTGAGAGAGGAGGAAGTCAGGCTGCCTACGAGCTGCAGAGACAAGTCGCCTGGGGAGAGAAGGGAGAGAGAAGACCGGTAGTTGCGAGGGTGGGTGGACGTTATATTATTTCGAAGAGAATGCGGTGGGCGCTTGTGTATGTGTGCGGTCGTAGTGTAAGTGAGCCGGAAAGAGGACTGCAGTGCGAGGTCAAGCTCTGACGGCGGCAAGGAGAATGGAAGGTTTTAGGAAGCTGATGTGCTCCCGGAAGTCTGGTCTGGGGTTGCTGGGGGCTTGAACAGGTGGGCAATAACAAGCCAGTGCTATTCGCCAGGAATGGGTTTCGAGTTTGGGCGGGAAGACAAGCAGGCAGACAAAATGTCAGTCTTTCCAGGTCGGCAGGCTGGACAAGGGAGGGGCAGAGTTGTGAGAGGGGTGAAGAAGGGGGCGTCTGGTGATGAGATGCCGCGGACGAGGGGGAGGGGTGGATGGCCTGAAGAGAAACAAACAACAGAGAGGATGTAGAGCCTGCACCAAAAGGCTGCGGTAGCGCGTGAAGGATTCTGTGAGGTGAAGAGGAGTCGTGATGTGTTGGTGACAGCGGATACAGATGGTCCAACGAGAGGAAAGCAGTGGCGCGCGGCGGGAGCGTCGAGGAGAGCGGTTGACACGAACAAGAGCGAGAGCGTGGTGGTGGGGAGGACGGGACAGTAATCGAGAGGAGCGGACGCGGAAGTCGAGAGAGACTGAGGTTGACCGGGGTCTCTCTAAAGCGGCAGGGAAGCAGTGGGTGGATGAGCTGGGATTGGTCGTGGAGCTTCAACAGACGACGGTCTGATTCGTTGCGCGGGCGCGTGTGGTGTGTGGTGTTCACTGCCTTAGTGCGTGCTGAGCCTGCTGCAGGAGACAGCGAAACAGAGAGACTGGACAGAGACGGGAACGGGGCCTGTCAGGGCAGTGAAAGAGCCAAAGCGGACAAGGGGTCGATGAACTGCTGCCGCAGCAATTAATTTGCCTCTATTGGCGTCCCTTCTTTGGACGAACCGGCTCGTTGCACGCCAAAAGAAAGCGGGCAAATTTTGTTCTGGGTTGTGACCTACAAAGCGGTTGGCCTTCGTCCCGTGCTTTGCTGCGGTGCCCGAAGCTGCCGTTGGCTGTGATGGAATAAGGTAGACTGGCTGGTCTTTTTTTTTTTTGTTCCGGTTGTTTGCGTCTAAAGACGACAAGCCAATGGGAGTGGCTTGGTTTGAGGAAGCGGTCGGCGTTCGGCGGATGGCTGGGATCACCGTTTGTCCCGTCGCGCGATCGTGGATGCCTCGTGGCCTCTCGCCCGGTAAATGTGATGAATGTGTGATTATTGGATGAGCCTTGGTCCAAGGTATTCGTCGGGTGTCGGGTAGCAAGTCAGCTAAGGCAGGCTCAGGTAGTGGCGTAGTGCAATGACGATGTTGCTTTGTACGGATGTCTCGTCGATTGGGATTGGTTGGCTATCAAAGGTAACCGGCACCCGTAACTCGTAGTCGTCCAGTAAATAGGTATCTAGTATCGTCCCAAAAGCGGAGGCTACAAAGACTCGCAGCACTGGGTGGAGGTGATGCGCCGTGTAAGTGGAGAGAGGGATGCAAAGCCAGCTCAGGCGGTGGATGGTAGGAGAGGCAACAGGGACAGAGACAGAATGCCGTAGAGAAGCAAAGACAAGCGATCGTAGAGCGCGAGTAACTCGAATGCGAAGCTACCTGAGCTAGCAAGAATCAAGAAGGCAGTGACCCGGCGTGGAGAGGCCTCGATTTCTGGTCTGAAAGGCTGATACAGAGGCGTGATTGGTTCTTGGAGGAGGCTCGCGGTGAGGTGTCGTGCAGTTGCGGGCTGTCCGTCGCTGGGTCCAACGGGGCTGCTTATGGGCGCTAGCAGAGAAGCACTGTAGCCAGTCAAAGAGGTGGAATTGCAGTGGGAAGACAAGAGTCGGCCGGGGCAGCCGTCCGGAGGGTGTTCCGCGGTTGAGCTGGCTATTCTTAGTGCTGTGTGTCTATGACTGGTGATTGGACGCTGGCCGAGGGCGCTTTCTCACCTGTAAATCCCCACGTCGTCCACCAGATCTTGCAGATGAGTCTTCTGCCGGGAAGATGTGTCGAGAACCGGTCCCGATAGTGATCAGTGGCGAGGCGGAGCAAGAATCTCGTTGGATGGTCCGGAAGATTCGAAGCTAACAAAGACGGGACACAAGAAAAGACGTCTCGGTCCGATGACGATGAAGCCGGGGTGGGCAAGAGAGGAATCGAGAGGCAAAGACGAGAAACAGACGTCGTCAAGCGTCGTCAGACCTCGTGATGACAGTGGGGCCGAGAGAAGGCGCCGGAGCTGATTGATGCCGCAGTGAATACGGACGGGAGTGACAGCTGAACAGGGGAAGCAGGATGCAACCAGTGGATGATGAGTGCACCTGATGGTCTGAGATGAGGTGGATGTCAAGGTGAAGATGCCTCGGTCTGTGGTGTGAGGCAAGAGACCTGGACCCGAGAGGAGGACAAGAATTTTGCAATGAGGAAGGAAACAAGGGTGTGAGCCGAGTGTGATTGCCTTGTTGGTTCTGGTGTTGGTGTTGGTTGGTGTTGGAAGGAAGGAAGGAAAGCGCTTGGCTCTCGACTTCTTGATTTGGGGGGCTTTCGAGTGATGAGAAGGGAAAGGAAAGGAAGAGCTGAATGATCACGAGCTTCCTTCTTTTTTTTTCAGCATCACTGTTGACCGGATTGAGCCACCGTTTTATCTAGCGAGCAGTCCATCCATACGAGTTTCTTGTCTAAGGTACTCGGCCTCACGATCCATCTTTCAAGCGCCTGCCTCCATTCGCGACCTGCTTGACATCGACTTGGTCGCCCAAAGTCAAGACGAAAACAAAAACAAATAATTGAAATTCGTTTTTTTGAAGTTCAATTCCTGCTTCACTCCGCGCGCGGCACCGTTCGGCGTCTCGACTCTCGACACTCCCTCGATCGATTTGAGCCTATCTTTCCCTCTCTTCTCAAGCGCTCTCCATCAAAGGACCACCATACGTCCTATTTCCAGCCACATGGCCCAGCAACCAGATCTCGCCAGATCCCAGAGCGCGCGCCATATGAAGCATGCCGGCCATTGGACCTGGCTGCCACCACGCCGTTGGCCGTCAGCGACCCGGAGAATTGCAGACCCATGCACGCAATTTACCCCCAAGCATCAACTGTGAGGAGCGGGTACGTGGCCGGCCATCTCTTCTACCTGCCTCCGATACACTTGGGGGGGGCTCTGCTCCGGCCCCAGTCCGTACCCGGCTGTCATACAGCGCGCGCCTCCAGCCAGTACAACGTTGGGCCGCGGCCCGGTCGTCGACCCTCACCACCACCGTCTCCGTGTCAAGACATCATGGACCGGGTCACCTCTCCCAACCTCCCAGACCCCGATTCCGTCTGCCATCCTACTCGCCGACCATTTTGCCCACTTCATCATCTGCCGACTCTAGACTCCCTGTTTGTGGATGGTCTAGATTCATAATTCTGGTGATAAGCGCCAGTCCGTGGCCTGTTCTATTCGCTGGCTCAAAGGAGATCGAATCCTTCGCGCCTGTTTCCTGCAAGCTCCCTGGCATCTCATTTGCCAGATCCACGCCAGCTTGCGCGCCGCAACCTTTTGGAGTCAGTTTTTTATCTCGCCGCCCATGCTCACTATGCAGCCACACAATCTCGTCAACTGCTGCCCTGAGGCACATTCAACTCGTGTTGGTCCACGCAAGCGGTGTGTTGTGTTAGTGCGTCTATGGCGTCTTGCGAATCCTTCCGTTGGGCTTCGATGATAGACGCGACGTGGAGGATCCAAACAGGTTGAATCTTGATCTTGAAAGACCAATTGCTCTCTGACTTGTCGCTCCTGTGTGCCTTGGGTCATCCATCTCAGGGCCCTCGGCCTGAAGGATCGCGCTTAATATGTTATGCAATCGATCGAAAGAGACTGTTCACTTGCCTTGTAAGACTGCGTAGACGCCCCTGAAGACAACGATCAAGCTCTTCTCTTGCCACGCCCTCGGCGTTGCTAGTAATCCATCCATTTGCCGCGCGATAATTCAGCATCGAAGATTTCAGACAGCAGAGTTAGAGGTTGAATCAGGTTTTCTAGTTCCTTCAAAAGCCAATGATTCCTCTGATATCCTCGAAGGCACGTTGACCAAGGTACGTCCTCGCGCACCAGAGTCTACCTTAGTCGCCATCTCCTACGTCGCGACGCTCATCAAACAGATCAGAGCAGCATTCGCGCCTCAGATGCAATAACAAGCGTCACGGGATTGGCTGGCCTTGTTCCTCGATAGTACGTGATGCCATCGTGAGCCGCTGGCCTGTTTTGCTGGCCGGGACTATTCATATCTAAGTGCTATCTATGTATGGCATTGAACGGACTCATCAGTATCGCGGAGGATTCCCCTTACCTAGCGAGGCAGCCAGGCTCGAGGGAAAGAAAAAAAAAAGAGTTCACCTCGGTAGGCCACATTTCTTGGTGCTCATGCTGGAAATCGAACTCGAACTCGTAGCCTGTCGTCGAGTAGGCTGTGAGCGTGATATTGTTGACCTTGGACCATTCCACCACCCAGCCAGTTTGTTCTCATAGCGACCTCGGTCGCTCCTGAGACACAAGCGGTGCGAAAGAGACGTGGCTAGGGACTAGCTACACCCCCGAGCTTGCGACCAAGGTGATTGTAATGCTTCTGGCCGAGATCTTGTGGATTCTACTTTGATTGAGCGCGAGTTCATTATTTGCTTGGACTTAGGGGCTCTGTTTAATTCATCTTCGTGATGTGTACGCATATATAAACGTCGACCTATATGTCCAAGAGCAATGAACCGAAGCAGCAAGCCACCGCAAGATCCCTGTAAACTTCAGTCTCACCGTAAGACATGGGAATCGGCTGTAATAGTTAGTTATAAGAATAAACCGCGTGTCAGTTCCGTCACATGAATTTACACTCTTCCCGCCTTCCTTCTTCAACCGCCTGTTGTTACGTGTCAGAATACGCCCCGAAGTGCATCTAAAGCCAGGCCGTATATAGCCTGCGGAGACTGAATCATGCTTCCTAGACTAGATAATAATGAAGACCGAAGGTTCCCTCAAAGGCTTTGATCTGCCAGGATCAACAAACTCCGGGCCCATGGTGGTCAACGGAATCTGCTGATTTGGTGCCCTGGTTGAGGAGTGTCTTTCCGTTCCCGACAATGCCTGTTTTATATAAGCGACGAAGTCTGGCACTGGTTATTGGCGAATCACCTCTGCCAGACTGAGAGCAGGATGAACCTACCGCAGGACCCCTTGCATTTTGGAACTGGCCAAGGTGCCTTCTGGCCAGTATCGCACGAAAAATGGCCTCTCTTCGTACGCTACCGCCCTGGGGCGTGGACATTAGTCGTTCAGCTCCACTGAGCTCAGTCTGTAAGAACGTCCACAAACACAGGCGAGGAATAATCTCACTCATTCTCGCGGACCTTCTTTGATGAAATTTAGGGAGTGTAGTCTGATCACGGGATGGATCTTTCTCCTGATTGCTGAATGAATATGAAGAACCCGGAAGTAGGAGGTTTAGCTGTCTACCATCATGCCATTTTCTGGCGTCGCTGTGAACGGAGGGTTGAGATACGTGTCTTTTGCGCGACGCGGGGCCGAGTGCTGACATTCCCGCTTTCGATGCAATAACTTGATGATTGGGGAATGGTAAAATCTTCGTTTAGAACATCCTTAGGCGTTCACATGTGTGGTTCAGCACTAGATTGTGATGGAGCTAAGGCTCGCATGAGGTTGTCGTGAGATGTGAGGCTTCGTCAAACACTATACTATCTTGGTCATTAAGCTGCAAGCTACTTTTGGTATCTCTGTGATGCCTTCGTGATCATGGAATATCTACTTCATCTTGTGAGATGGCTCTCGAGACTTTTCATCGTGGAGCCACCAAAAACACTTTACATCAAAGCAGGTATAATGGGGGCACATAAGCGGCATTGGTATCGATCTCGTTCATCATCCTCGCCACTGTTTTCGTTCTAACCTACTGGAGCCTTTCCATCTTGATCTCGCGGGTCAGTATCTCCTTACATTTCACCATTTATTTCCTACAAAACGTCCTCGCCGACGATGCAGAGGTCAAACCCTCCCAACAGCGACTACAATCCCCACCAATGCGTCTTCGTGAAGTGAGATACTTTCCTGGGTGGAATCCATCAACATTGGCCTTGGCATTATACGCGCACAACATCCCTCCCTGCGCCCCCTCGACGCCGATGCTACGTCAGTAGGCGACGGCCCCTTGAATGGCACCCTTGTGATTTCTCGGCTACGCGTTGTCGCGACTGTGGGCAATGTTCAGAGTGCTGTCGTCTAGTCTACAGGCTGTTGTGAAGCTGGCGGCGTGACGGTAGTCCTCGGTCTTCCATTGGATGGTGTTGACATTGAGTGGCCATCAGAGGCCGGGTCGGAGCTCACATAGGCGGCGGCTAGTATGCAGAAGTCTGGGTAGATTAGTAATATGGCTCCAAGGAAGCCGTTGTGGGATTGATCAGGTGCATTATATCTTCACTTACAGGATTCAATGATGCGTTGTTGGTGTTATGGGTATGAAGGTGCACCGGTTCTCGTCTGGGGGACGCGGGGCGCAGGCTACAATCTGAGCCGGGGAGGTGTGATTGATATGGAAGGAACGAGGCGCACTTATACCGTGGATGAGAGTACTGTTCGACATTCTGGCACAACTGACGATTCCATGCGACCTCCAGGCAGAGCGCATGCTTTACATCCAGGTTGAGGTCGCTCCTACCTCAACCAAGCCCAATCGATCCCTATGGTCGAGCGGTATAACGCCCTGGTCCGTTAGTAACAGAACTTGGTATGAAATCTCGAGAGGTCAACGAATGGAGGGTTTCGTAGAGGCTCAGTTCGATTTACGGACTGAGCACCTGAGCTTTTGCTTTTTTTTCCCTTTTTACGTGTTCTGCCAAATTCAAGTGTCGATAACTTCTTATGTCACTGTGTAGAGTGGCTTATACCGCTCCACGATATTAGTGTATATATTAGCAGGGCATCCTGTAGGCCGAGGCAAAATGTAACGGTCTGCATTATGCTGTTTCTATACCTGAGATTGTAGGATAAGGAGGAAGTAGGCGGCCATCCACATCTCCGAAGTGGAAGGAGATAGGTGGTATGGGCCGGGCAAGGAAGTACCGCATACCTAGCCCATGCCACCTTCCATCTGACTAATATTACCTCCCTATCTTGATTGCTCAATACTCTGATATATATAAACTACATGTATTACTCTAGTGTAAAGTTACTCAGGTCGTATTGAATCTTCGCTTCAGTTCAAAAGGGAACTTTAGGGGTGGGGGAGCAAAAACAACAGGAGCCACCGAGGGTTAAAAGCCGGAGTCCAGGGATAGTCCGGATCATCACGGACTAGGCAGTCAAGACCTCACGACCTTCGCCCCTCGGCCATTAGATACGTGTTGTTATGATGAGAAGGCAAAAGACCTCCTATGAGGCATACCTTGAGGGTTTGCTGGTGCTCCCCACTCTGGCAGGAGCGATGTCGTGCGGCCGTGTGCTTGTCCGCAGGCCGACCACCCAGAGCCCATTTACTATTACGTGTTCGTTACGAGGTATTATTTTCCCTGGAAGATCATTCGCGTTATAACTTCCTCGGCTTTGATTTGGAAGGGTACTATAGAGGTAAGTTCCGTCTGGCCGTGTTGCTTCACATACTTGGTGATGGCTTTAATAGAATTAAGTCTCTGCTAATTCGCTCTTCGATAGAAGTCTCATCCACCCGTTGACTCGTTCGCAGTCGCTGGCGGCTTAGCATGAGTTCTCAGAGTACTTGGCCAAGGCCTAAAACCACATATGAATCCAAAGCCGGAGACGAGTTATAAAAGCAGCACCTCGCAACACTCAGATTTTCCTGTCACATATTCAGAAGGAGATTATTACAACATGAAGGAGCGTTGAGATGTACCAGTAACGTCTTTTTATATAATCGAGGCTTTAGGGAGGGGGTAAAGAGCATGTACTTTACTTACCTTAGTATGTAGCTCATGAAGAGACACCTGCTTCCAGATCTAGGGCAGTGGAATTGAAGGTGATACTCCACTACTCAATGTCTCAGGCTGCCTACCTAGCAGGATCAGAAGAC